TATAAGTTATAAAGCTTGAAAAGAATAGTTTTGCACAGCTTTTTCCGTGTTGCTGCTCTGAATGAATGAGACATCTTCTCCTATCGCTTCACTTTGCCACATCCAATATGGCGGTGACAACGACGTACGATTCAGCACTCAATGAGCCAGCTATGTTTATTTGTCTGTGGGAACTATGACAGCTCTTTTCTAGCGTCCAGATCATTTAGCTCAGCTCACCGGAAGCAGCCGAGTCTTTCAGCTCCCTCTGTAGGAGCTGTTATCTCCACAATGACATTAAAGTTTTTGTTCCGGTATTATGTGCTTGCTGCTTACACATGTATTTGTTCAAATGCAGGTGTTGACCCAGAGCCTGCCTCCTGCTGGCGTGCAGCCACAAATGCATGACAGTTTCATGACCAATTCATGGAATTGCTACGAAAAACCTGGAGAAATGTCTAGAAGACCAAATGATTTCCCCATAATTGTGACGCAGATGAAGGAAGGACTCAATCTTGGCTAACCTCAGGCGGGTTTGGGACATCAAACCCACTTGCCCAGTGGCTTTAATGACAATGCAAAATGGCCACAGAAAGGCCACAGCTACACAGACTGACACATCATTTCCTTTTTAGCCACACAAGTTTCCAGCAATTTTAGCATGGGACAATCAAAAAGTTTAATCCCAGTAAAGTCAAATACTTTCAGACGTATGTCGCCATTCTTTTCTCTTCTTTCATTCAGAATCGTCTACAGGAAACCTTTTAAATAAGCTCCACAGTGAGTGTAAAGTCCTCTGCACACTCAGTGTCAACACACAACGAGCTCAACTCATGTTTTGTAATTCACATTTGACCACATTAAATCTCTGATTCCTATTTTATCCCGCCTTCTGTCTGACTTTCCAGCCAACCCTCTGTGACTCACACCCCATGTCTCATCTGTACAAACACACACACATATAATCGTAGTCGATGCAAACATGCTTCATTAAGTCCATGTACATAAACTGTAAAGCGCACATATCCCTTAAGAGTCCAGAAGGCAGACAGACACCCTCACACCCTTACAGAGACAGTCTGTTTCTCTGCTCGGAGCTTTTCCGGGAACACCAGTGGAGTTGCAAAGGGGGGGCGGTTACCACAGCCTTGAAACAAAGCTCAATGGAATCTGACTAATGCCTTCTGATTTATGCTTTCCTAATTCTGCTCTGATTTTATTTTATTTTTATCCGGATGCTCAGCAAGTGCAGTGATTCAGTTGAACTGGAGCAGAGCTCCACATTACCAGCAGCTGAGAAAGACACCGGCTCAAATATCAAATCAAACCGGCCTAATTCATTTTTCCAGCAGGGCTAAAGTGCTTCTCAGCTGCTAACCCTGCTCCAGTGGTGGAGCAAACCCCAGAGTGTGTTTTATGCAAAGCTAAAGGCTAACTGGTTTCAGTTTTATGTCTCGTCTTCAAATACCATGAGCGGGATGCACGGAGTCCTCCTGCATGATGGGAAATAATCTCAATACAATAACTACTCATAAGTGAGAGTCAAGAAAAAAGATGGCGTGTTTATGTGTTTTCTGTTGGGAGGGTTAAGTTACAAAAGCATTGCTCAAGCTGCACATCTTGCTTCAATTAAAGCTGTGGTCACTTTGCGCAACCCCGTGGAACTCTGGGTAAACAGGAGCTTCGCCCTGTCGATGCTGCAGTTCACACTGATGCACAAAAATACACACACCCTCAGCGCGGTGTTTGTTAGCGTGCGGTTCTGGTGGATCTCTAAAGAATCAAACGCACATCTATTTTTCCTGCTTTCTGTGTGGTCCGTTCCCCCCTGGAATGTGGAGGCCAACGATCAATACGAGCTTTATTAAAACATTTTTCTTAGACATGATCAACCCTCTTATTGTTGTGCTGACACCAAACCACAGCTACGAGCTGGGTTCGCCGACTGACGCTTCGATCGGAGCCGACCGCTGTCGCTCCTCTCGGAACCAAACATCACCACGTACAGCTCGATGGACTCAGCTGTGTGTAAATAAGTTCCCCACAATGTTGTAGCAACACAGACAGATCCATGAGAAGAAAAACGTACAAGTTAAACAACTCGAGATACAAGTTTCCATTAAAATCAATCATTGCTTGTGCTGTAACGGTTGATCTTATTTCTTCTATTGTATGAAAACTACTCTTAAAGGGTATAACACTAATAGTGGTGGTAATATGAAGGAGAATGCAGTCATAGAAACACAAATATTGACTCACAGTATTTGTAATGAGCCTTTAGTGTTCTCTGACATTGATACAAGGTCGCACAAAAAATATCCAGGAAGTATCCAGCTCCTGGAGGTCTTTGTCCCGTAAAGCTCAAAATAGATTCTTAGAAGGTTTAAACAGAAGATAATGACTTCTTTGTTTTTTTAGGGTGATTTCTCAATTCAGACTTGAAGTGCAGTATTTCATGATTTGTAATTGTATGTGAACGACTGGTCTTTGCAAGCTGAACTCACATGCAAATCATTTTATTGAATTTAATGCACCAAAATAAAACAAATATATATATATATATATATATATATATATACATATATATTATATTTATATGTGTTTTTATATTATTATTATTATTTGTTTTTACTTTTATGTTTGCAGTTGGGCAACACGCTGGCTCAGTTGGTAGAGCTGTTGCCTCTCAACGAGAAGGCCACTGGTTCAAATCCCGGCTCGGGACATTTTTGGGTGGAGTTTGCATGTTCTCTTTGTGCAGCGTGGGTTTTCTTTGGGTACTCCGGTTTCTTCCCACAGACCAAAAACATGCATGTTACACTGAGTGGTGACTCTAAATTGTCTCTAGGTGAGAGAGAGAGAGTGAATGGTTGTCTATGTGTCCCTGTGACCGACTCGTAACTTAACTGCGGTGTATCCCGCCTCTCGTATGGTGATAGTTGGACGTAGGCACCACTGACCCCCACGACCCGAAAAGGAAGAAGCGGGTAAAAGACAATGAATGGATGGATGTTCTCTGTTGTAAATGGTGATTTAAAGATAATGTTGTAGACATACCTGAGGTAAGAGACGATTCAGCCAGTTGGCTGTGGAGGCTCTCCGGTGAACACCCCAGTTCTGACTCCCCCAGCTTGTTCTCTGTGCTGTCCCTGCAGGAAATCCCCTGGCCTGTTTCTGACCTGGAGACCTGGGGGGACTTGTCCAGGTAGAGATCCCCTGCAGACGTCGACGCCATCAAGGCACTGACTAACATGGCAGGGGCTGTGCTACTTTCAGCTGAGGTGGAGTGTGTACTCGCCACTCGGTAAAGTTCCTCCTGTTTAACCAGCAAATTTTCAGAGAAGTTGGACAGATCTTTGGGCCTCACTTGAGCCAGTGGTACACAGAGTTCAGTACTTGGATTTAATGGGACTGGAGGGGAGGTGTGGATGAGCGGAGAAGAAAGAGGAACCAAAGATGTAACACATGTCTCTTTGATGGATGAACCTATCCTTTCTTGAATTACCCTTTCGCCCACTTTTTCAAAGTTCCTTCTGTCTTTTCGGGTCTTTTCTCGATCTTGCTCTCCTTCAAGGCCTCCACATGAGCAGGTTCCTGACATCCCAGGAATCACAGCCTGGCTACAGTCCTCATTTTCCCCTACTTCCAGCGGCTCATGGATCGGGATGACACAAGTACAAGACCCTGCCAGAAGCATTGATGAATTCACGACCTCTTCTTCTGACAACTCCTCTGGTTCTCCAGAGCCTTTGCTGTCATCCTCTGTCACTGTTCTTTCCTTAACCCCTCTGTTTTCTTCCATTCTCTCCGCGGAGGGCGGGGAGAACTTCTCAAAGGAAATCGATGCAGGAACAGTGCATGGGGGATCTATGTCAGGACTGTGGGGGGCTTGGAGGATGAGCTTAGTCACCTCACAAGGTGCACACTTGAAGCCTCCAGGACCTTCTCCTGCTGTTCCACTGTGGTAAAGAGGGGCCAAAGTCTCCTAGAATAATAAAAGAAAAGAAAACATTCAAACCCACTGCTGTAACAGGATAAATTGTTGGGTATGTGATTTTCTAAATTTGAACCTTGTAGAAAGAAAGCCAAAAGTGGTTCACTGTATTTATCTTAAGTGCTTTTTACATCATAATTGCACCCAAAAGGTTTGTAGCTGTAAATGCAACATAAAATTTATTTGGCTTTTTAACAGAAATGTCACAGTACCTGCTGTATCCTGGTCCTCTTCAGATTCTGGACACAAGATCGCAGATTTACTAAATAAAAAATAAAAAAAACAGTGACTCCATTTAGTCTATAAAATACAGACAAGAAGACTGCTGATGAGCGGAAGTTGAAGTCCACTGTGTTTCTACGTACCAGAGAGCAACTTTAGTTTGTCCTTGTAGCAGAAGAGCAGCAGGATGAGGAGGCACAGAACTGTTATGACCGACAGCACTGAAACTAAAACCCAAGAAAACAGGGTAACTGTAAAAAAAAAAAAAAAAAAAAATCACAGTTTGCTTTTGTAGTCTGAATTTTCCGTCATTACTTAAGTACAACACAGACGTTTTACACCATAACTCCATGACTCATTTCTTTATACTCTGAGTCCAAAGAGCCATAATTTATTGTTCCAAAGTGGTTTTGGTAAACAGTTCTTTAGGCTTTCTGTAGTATTTCAAGTTTTTAACACTTTTTCATTCTAATTATTGTACCTGAATGGTAAATGGTAAATGGACTGTACTTATATAGCACCTTTTTATCTTATCAAGATATTTAAAGCTCTTTACAACAATCAGTGCCTCATTTGCCCATTCATACAGCTCTATACTAGATCTCTACAAAGACTAATCAGAGTTTTTCCACATTCATACACCGATGGGACACACAGTGGAGGCAATGAGGGGTTCAGTGTCTTGCCCAGGGACACTTCAGCCTATGACTGCTGGTGGAATTGAACCCCCAACATTGCACTGGAGGACGACTGCTCTAACCACTCAGCCACAGCCGCCCAAACATGACAGTACAATGGTAAGTGCGTACTTCAAAATCTCTAGATGGAGTTAGTTAACAGAACATGTATTAAACCCCAGAATGTTTGATTCATAATGTTCGACTTCCTGTTTGGTTTAAGTTCTAGAACCAAGAGACTTCTTTTGTGTACCTTTGAGTTCTACATGCCAACCAAATTTTAATGTTCTAAGTAAAACTAGTTCTCAAGGTCACCAAAAGAGGCAGCACCTACTTTTGAGGCCCTGATTAGATAATGTCATGATTTTTTCTGCATATTTAGACCTTCCTTCCATCCATCCATCCATCCATCCCTTATCTTTACCCGCTTCTTCCTTTTCAGGTCATGGGGGGTTGCTGGTGCCCATATCCAGTAGTCACTGTGCGAGAGGCGTGGAACACCTGGACAGGTCTCCAGTCCATCACAGGGACACATAGACAAACAACCATTCACTCTCTCTCAACTAGGGACAATTTAGAGTTACCAACCAACCTAATGTGCACGTTTTTGGTCTGTGGGAGGAAATTTGAGTACCTGGAGAAAAAAAACTGCACAAGGCGAGTTCAGTGAACAAGACCAGGCTGATTCTGGCAGATCCTGATCATCACTCTATGGTGAGTTCAGGTGTCTTCCATCTGGACGCAGGTATCTGTTGCCCAGATGTAGGAAGAACAGAATGAAACTCATTCATCCCTGCAGCGATCAGGCTTCTCAACAAACAGTGATGATTTCATGTTCTGTTATTTTAATTTCTCATTGTCTTGTCTAGTTTGGACGTTTTGTGTTCCTACTGACTGTGAAACTAATTGCCCCTTGGGGATAATAAATATTCTTGAACTTCTTGGCAACAGCTGTCCCAACTGAGCCGCCCATGTCCACACCTCTAAAAATAAATATTAATAGGCAAATAATAATGACAAGCTACATCTAAAATGAGCCATAGCTTCACCTTCCATGTTTGGGCCAAACGAAAAATGATTCAAGAAGGTATTTTGTGTGGCTCACACAACTGATTCCAACAAATCCTCATTTTTATGTGACTCATCTTTGTGTGCTTAAGCCTCCCCATAGAAGAAATGGTTATTACATAACTTTAAGGATTTCTTACGTGCTTTGACATGATATGTTGCAGTTAATGTGTTACCTGGGACATGCTGTCCGCACACAGCATCAGCCTGAGCACTGCCGGGCTGCAGCTCTCTCCTGCCCTCAGCTTTACAGCTGGAGAAGCAAGACAAAAACAGAATGAATGCAATTTCTGTGCTAAAGAACATGTGTGTGTGTGTTTAAACGTACTTGGTCCACGGTTTGCATTGCTCAGCATTGAGCATATCAGAATAAAAGCCTTCTTTACAAGCAGCACAGACTGTCCTCCCGTATGTCGACCCTGAAGAGTAAACCCATGCGTTATGGCTAAAGTACCTGTGATGTGTTATATTTCTGCTCTGTGTTCGTATGTCTCACCAGGGTCGTCCTCAAGTCCACTGCCAGGGGGACAGCTTGGTATGAGCTCACAGAACTCACAGTTGATGTGGTAACACTGGCGGCCAGGCTGGCAGCGACACGGCTCCTCTTCCGTAAAGCTTTCGTTCTCCTCATTTCTTCTCATAAATCCTTTTCCTGGAGGTGAAAACAAGGAATTTGAATCGATATGGACGCTGAAGTGACTTCGCTGCAGAGATTTGAAGAGAACTCTGATAATTCTGCAAGTTTATTTTTCATTTATGCATCTCCCATCAACAAGATGGAAGATTTATACATGATATTTTCTTTAGAAAATATCATTCAACAGACAGCAATTTTTTTTTTTTATTGAAAATATTAAGGCCAAATTAGACGGAGGGTTGTGTTGATTGGTGCTGTGTTCCTTGATCTAAGTAACTTTTGACACCGTCAGTCACGACATACTTTTACTGAAATGATCGATGTTTATTTTTTCATCTTTGTCTATTCAGTGGATCAGCGCAAACAGAAAACAATGTGTTAGAATAGATAATAATTAGATGTAGTTCAAATTAAAATAGGTGTACCCCAAGGTTCAATGTTAGGCCCTTTATTATTTAGTTTATACATAAATGATTTACCAGCTATATGCCCTTCTGATGCTACATGTCATTTATATGCAGATGATGCAGTAATTTATCTACATGCGAAAAATAATGAAATAGCTGCAGAGAAACTGTCGGCATTGATGGTACCAGTTTGTCTGTGGCTAAAAAATTCAAATGTCCATCTTAATGTTAGTAAAACAGTTTGCATGTTCTTTTCTAAGTGCAAAACTAAGGAACCAGATCCAGTTATTACAGTGGACGGACAAATATTAACACCAGTACAATTGTATAAATACTTAGGTATCATAATGGATTCCCAACTTTAATTTAAGAAACATAAAAAAAATAAGAAATGAAGTTAAATGTAATTTATCCAGTTTTAAACATCTTAGGAATAATTGGGCATTAGAAGCTTTGAAGCTATATTTAAACGTTATGATTCTTTCTCATATAAATTACTGCATGACAAGTTGGTCTCAGGTGAGTCGAACTAAACTACAACCAATAGAAAGACTCAATAAGCAGACTCTGAAGACTTTGGACAAAAAAAAATCTTATCATCATTGTAAAATATTACATAAGTATGACTTTTTGAGTTGGGAAAACATGCTCATGTATTCAGACGCCATACTTTACATAAAGTCCTTCGTGGTTTGGCTCCACCACCATTAAAAGACTTGGTCCAATTACATTTACAACCAAACAGAGCAGTTAGTAGGGGAGACCATAAAAATACCTTTTAAACAAAGTTCCTTCGGTCAGTCATCATTTTCTGTTCGGGCTCATAATTCTTGGAATGAACTACCATTAGAACTAAGAAATATTACATCATTAAACTGTTTTAGGAAATCACTTAAGCGATGGTTAGTAGATAATCAAAATTGTTCATGTTTTAATCAACTTTTTACTTGTTGCTTTGTCCTTCCTTTGTCCCCTTCTATGATCGTGACTTATTTTTTATTTCTTTATATAAATGTTTACTGTAAATTATACTACTTGTATATGTATTTAAAATTGTCACAACTTATAGGTCATGTAAGTTGCTCTCTATGTTAGTTGTAATTTTTAAATCTTTTCTGGCATCTGGCACATTAATGTGATGTATTCATGTTGATTGATATGCATTGTCCCTTTATGAAATGAACTGACACTGAAGCTGCAGGTACTCACCGGCGTCGCAGTACTTCTTAGGGATGCAGGTCGTTTGTGCGTTCCAGCCAGGCTGATATTCATGATGGTTGCACTTTGAGCACGTGGTCTGGTCCGATTCAGTGCAGTGGGACAACACACGCTCCCCTAATGACCAACAGTTAGAGGTAAACAAGGGATTTAAGCACAAAGTCTACAAAATAAAAGCTTTTGTTTCTATTTCTAAATAGTGGATACTTCTAGTGGACCTAATTCTAAATTACGCTCATGTGTAAACACGTGCGTGTCTGTGCTATATTTGGCCAAAATGTTCCACTTTATCCTTCCTCTTCTATTTTTGTCCATGAAAGTATTTTTAATGCCAGTTGACTCTCGTGAGGAAACGAGAAGTGGCAGATTGTCTCTACTTCCGTGTGATTTGACTTCACCGTGTGCATCCGTGTGTTGTTATCACCTGGCTGACACATCGTGCAGCATCTGGAGTCTCTTAAGTAGTGATTTTCTTCACACTGAACAGATTTGGAGACTGCATCCTAAAACACACAAATGATGTCAAATGAATGTTGCACATTCACACTTTGTAGCAAAGAGGAATAACAATAAATACGTACAGAGGCAGTGGTTCCCAAACTTTTTAGCTCCCAACCCACAAAATGATTGTGACAAACCCAATTAAACATGTGCATTATATCATTTTAATTATTTTACGACTATTATTTTGATCTTTTTTTGTTCAAGCATGCCATAAGCACTCATTTTTTAAATGTAAATTGATATCAGGACATTATTTCAGACTCCCATGTGATGTTTCAGAACCCACACTGAGGTCCTAACACAAATTGGGAACCACTATCCTAAAGAATTAATAACACTTCCATGTACATGCTTACCATTAACAATATAAAACTTCATTTTCCTGATACAGTTTAAGCTTTATCACAGACATCGCCCGTTTTCTCGCGCACATTTTAAATCCAGGACTAATTATTGTGAAATAGCCTGCAGTAATAAGAGGAAGAAGATGGTTGGGTTGAAGTATTTCCAGGACATGCCCAGGAATGTTTTCCACCCTCTGCAGGAACACCTGACCACAGCACCAAACTCACACAGGATCCTCTTACATACCACTTTGAGTTAAATAAAATGGAGTGTTGTGCAAGTTCAGATATTCTCCTAGCGATCGTCGGCAGGCTGTTGAAAAGTGCTTTTATCGCCACGCTGTCATTAAATGGCCCTGAATCATCTGCACTTTTTAAACTTGAGTAAAACTCGAGTTTCTCACACACAGAGCTCGATGTGCACACCCTCCAGCCTCCATAAACTTGCGGCTGGTGAACTCCTCACCACACTGCTGAATTAGAGAATCCAGCTGTTATGACAGAGGTGATGCCAAAGCCACAAACTCTATATATAAAGGTAGATAAATACAAGCTGAAGGACTGAATGCACTTTGAACTTGGACAAACATCTTTCACCTTCTCATTCAGCCATTTTCAACTTCTCTTCCCCTTGAACACGGTTTCATCATCTAGTTAACGCCGGCACCGGATGCAGTTTTAAACAAAAGAAGCAGAAAAATAATTTGAATTTGTAAAACTTATCAAATCCATCTTCACTCACTGATCTTCTTTTTCCAAAGCTCCCCGAGACAAGTCCATGTGACTTGTGATTAAAGTGCATGACATTAAATCATATTTATTTAAAATGGACTTCAACTTAAAGCAGGGGTGTCCAAAGTGTGGCCCGAGGGCCATTTGCGGCCCTTGGAGTGATTTTGTGCGGCCCACGACTACAATTAAAGAATGGTATAGTTGGACTGCCAGGCTCAAGAGGTTGATGCAGATGTCGACCTTTAGATTTAATGGAGATACTTTTTTAAAATTGTTAGATATAACAGCAAAACAGATTCAAAAAACATTTTAAAAATGAGCTAAAGTAAGTACAAAACAAATATTTATCTATAATTAATCCCTTTATCCTGCAACAAACCTTCACTGACCTACCAAAAAGTAAAAATTTGGATATAAATTCATAAAACTTGGCTAAACATAACAAGTGTTTTCAAAGAAAATAATTAGAAATTGGACATTGTTAAAAGAATATAAAGTGGTATCATCAACATACAAGTTGATCAACTTTATCATTGTCCCTTCAAACCGTCCATCAGTCAGTTTTAACGACTCAGCTGGACAGGTTTTCAGAACTTTGATGACCCTTTTGGGCCATCCACGGTCCAAACGAGTGTTTGAAGCTCCACCCCCTTTTTAACAGTTACCAATTTTAGGCTTTTATCTTTGAAAATAAATGAAAATGAACTTTCCAACCACAAGAAAACAAATAATAGGCTATTTTAAAAAAAAAATATTTAAATGAATACATAAAGGTTAATGTTCATGAGGCTCTTAATGTTCTGGATCTACATAAACTTAAACTAAACTTTTAGCCATTCTCCAAAATATTGGTCAAGTTGTTAAGGGTTTTAAAATGAGGGGGGGAAACGACACTTTTTAAACTTTTTTCTTTTCTTAAATTCAAAATTTTCTGGTTGTTTCCTCTAGACATTTCTGTCCCACCTATGAAAATGTTTGGACCCCCCTGACCTAAAGCAACATTTACGTTTAGAAATGTTTCTCTGAGCACAGCGTTGTTGCCCCATGTGTCGCTCTGAACTGACACAAGCAGGAAAAGTTTTGCACAGGCTCAGACGGAGATCAATATTTTAAATCTAAACTTTATGTAAAGTTATATAAAGTGATGTGTTTTAAGTCACTATATACTCCGAGTCCCCAAACGGAGGCCCGCGGTCTATATGCGGACCCACATGGAGACTTATCTAGACCCAGATTTTTGGCTTTAACGTTTTGCAGAATAAAATTATTTTAAAAATTATAGGGTAATTGAGTTTTCATGGTGATTTTTTTTTTTTTTTTTACAATTCATTTTATGTATTTCCCCTGTTTATATGAATTCATTTTAGCTGGTGCAGCTTTTTTTTTTAACAGTTTACAGTAATTTCCACGTCTGGCACATCGTTTCTGCTTCTTTCTGCACACAGAGAGTTACAGATCTGTTACAGAAACTATGGCTGTTAATAAAAGTGCATCAAAATTACATTTTCCAGGCAGAGTTACGTCATTTCAGCTGAAGACCACAGATAAATATGTAAAAGAAACATAAAATATAAACAGAAAATGTGGAACATCTATGCAAAGGGCAGCCTCTACCTGCTGGTAGTGCTTTAGCTATAAATTCATGAATCTTAAACACAAATAAGGAAATGGAAACTAGTCAAACAGATGAATAAAAAAACCCAAAATAAAACAAGGCAGCCATCAGAGCTCCTCTGCTCCTGTCACATCTTTTTCCTGGATGTTTTGTTTATTGAATAAGGATAAAAATAAAAGACTTCCACCCTTTGCTCAGCCCCGTCAGACGTGACCGTGGCAGTGAGTGCATTCCCTTAGCTCCCGGAGGACGAGAGGATTTGCATAACGGCTGCAGCAGTCAGAGGCATGGGGCCAAGAGAAAGACGGACTTTTTCGCCTCTCGGCTTTTACTGATCTGTGATAAGATGTTGTAAAAACATATTGCTCAACAGCTGGAGCTCTGTGCCCTGTTTGCACCTGCCATTATTCATGCAAATATTATAAAACAAATCCCATGAAGCATCAGAAACACATTTTACAAACTCTATAAGGAATTTTTTTCCAACAATAAAAAATTAAAAGGAAGTAAAGTGAGTAGAATTGCAGAAACTGGGACAATAATCTGTAAACAAAGAGACAAGGTAGACAAACCATTTGCACAAATGGTTTAAGTTTACACAAACTGGAGTCATTGCACCAATCTGAACCACGAATTCCAAAATAACCACAATGGGCACTAATGGTTTTTGTTTTTACATCTCAGACAAGTCCTCCTGGCTCCACACTCACTTCTGTTTTGGTTACAAAACTTCTGTTATCTGCCTACAGTCACTCAAGTTTGGATTTTCAGGAATGAGGCATTGCAGTAGTTGCTCAAAATGAAATGATGCTAATTGTGCCGATGCACTTTAGAGATTTAAGAAACGATTATACGACGAGAGAATCTGATGAGAAAGAAAAGTGGAACCTGCAGCCAAAGGATGGTTAGAATAAAAAGACTGATGGATGGATGAGAGCGTTAATGCAGGAATAAAAGCTGGAGAGGTGCTAAAAGCACACATGGAGCCAGCAAGTAAACAAATCCACTGAATCACAGCGTTTTCATGATTTGCTGCCCTCCTTCTTGAGCCGTGAACATCTTGAAGTGATGTGCATTGCTCAATGTCTTACAGCTTGAGAGGAACTTGGAATGGATTGGAAGAAAACCTTCAGCGTGAGCGGGGAATTCTACGGGGATACTGTGAGTCAAGAATGGCAAGACCACTGTGAGAACAAGCCTGAGCCAAAGATCTGCAGTGTCACCTAAAAGCCGATGGAAAGTATTTCTTTTCTTCTGCATTCTGACTTGTTTTCCAGAACACTTTCAGGATATTTTGGGAGAAGAAGAGAGAGGAAGCATGAAAGTTAGGGGTGTCTGTTTCAGTCAGAGGGGCAGCCATGCTGACTTTACAATAAAACAGCAGATCTGGTGCCCACCAGTCCCACCGCTGCAACCACATCTTATATACCACCACACCTGGACGCTGTTACAGCTGCTAGGAGAGAAAACAAATGGAAAACACGGCGCGGATCAGCTGAAACATTATCTCAATAAATATTAAAAATCTGAATGTTGGGTTGTCAGTTTGAGAAAGGAACAAATTAGAGTGTGTGATGGTTTAAAGAGCCTGATGAGGGAGCATGGATGGACTCCAGTGAAGTTCTTGATCCATTTCGACAGAAACATCCTGTTGTGTCCTGATGCATGCTCAATAATCCAGGTAGAAAAATCCAAAAAAGTTCAATCTGGTCCTCTGGACATTCAAAAAAAAAAAAAAAAAAAAAAAAAAAAACAAAGCAAAAAAATTTAGAAACGTTTCGTCTCTCATCCAAGAGACTTCCTCAGTCTGTTTTTTTTTTTAATGTCTAGAGGACCAGATTGAACTTTTTTGGATCCTGTTGTGTGTTTGTGCAGAAAAAAAGAGGCTTAATCCAAATTTAAAAAGCTGTGCGTAAATAAAAAAAATTAAAAATGCGACTGATCATCCTTTCCTGGAGAATAAATATGCAAACATTTTGAAGCTGCCTAATTATAATAAACTACATTTAACCCCTGACTGCATCATTGTGTGATAAACACTGATAAATTAACTTGTACATGGTAATGAAGCCTGGTTTACCTGTGCGTAAAAGATGACCATGACGCACAAGAGTATCCAGCCGCGGAATATCCAGCCAGAGGAGAAGTTCATCCCCATCTCTGCAGATTTAAGACTCCTCCAGAGGATAACTCGTCTCTGATTGTTGCACCACGCTCAGATTTCACACACCCTTTTCCAAGCACGCTCACTGGTGATCACTTCTTCTTCTTGCGTGCGCGTCTGGAGCTACACGTTCCCACGGAGCTTTCAGGGCATTCTTCCTGCACCTTCATCCCCTGGTAAGAATCAGCAGCTCCTGCATGCCCTCTCCTCTCTCCCCTGCTGTCATCCAGACGTTGTGAAGGAGGCTGCATGCAGCAGCTTGTAAAAACTATGCGTGCAGGGAGGGGAGGAGGAGAGGCAACTCCTCCCACCTTCCCATACACACCTCCCCCCTAACTGCTCCCATTTGGATCTGCCTGATTGGATAATCCCTGGATCTAAAACAGATCAATTCTGATTGATTGTTGTCACTGACAGGACTTTTGGCTAAAGCTTATGTAGTGGGCTATTTTTCAGGTGAAGTGGTGGCGCAGAGGTTGAAGGAGGTGTGAGCACAAAACAGAACAGTTCCACCTGTTTTTACTTCATTTAGGCCCTATTTTTATTCTTATTAATATACATAAAGTAATTTTTAAAGGAGTGTTTTCCAAAGTTTGGGTCAGGACCCCTTTAGGTCCTGAAACTCCATGTGAGGGGTCATGATAGGATTTCTAGGAATCAAATAAACTGACAGTTACTTGCAAATACTTATTATAATTATTATGAAATATAAAACAAGGCGCTAATATAAAACTATAACTATATATATAACTAACAACAATTCCTTTGATTCTACTTTTATAGTTTTCTGTTTGCCTTGTAAGGTTTTACACTGAAAATTTTTTTATGAATATGACCTGATTCTGATGTTTCTGGTTTTTTTTTTTTTTTTTTGGATCAGTTCTTTGAATTATCACCTTGTTTTTGCTTCATAATGCCACTTCTTGCTATTGAACATTTAGAGATGATTGGAGTGATGAATGGAGGAGGTTGGTCAGTATCATTTTCAAAGATTCTTGTTGCTTTTGCCACATTGTCTTTTAAAAAGCCCCCCCCCCAAAAAAAAAACATATAAAACAACAAAAAATAAAATCCAAACAGTTCTGAGTACAGCCTTTTGAAAATGTGGACGTCCTTTATTTGTATATGAACTATTACCATATTTTCCAGTGCATAAGTTGCAGTGTTGTGCATAGATTTGTCAGACCTGTGATTTATACGCCGAAGCGACTTATATACTTTTTTTTTCCATATTCATAACACAATTTTTGACTGATGCTTTAAATTTCTAAGAAATGCAACAGCGAATCCTCCCGTGCGCGCTCGCTTCACTCGCTGGAGAGCTAGCGGCTCCGGTTGCAATGAATGGAGGGTTCCGCCGCCGAGGCCAAACGAACGTTTTGACCATTAAATAAACGCGACAGTTCAGCAGTGACACATAATAAATGCGACTTGTACGCGGAAGCGACTTATATATGGTTTTTCCTCTTCATGATGCTGTTTTTGACTGAAGCGACTTATGCTTCAAAGCAACTGATATGCCGAAAAATACGGTATTTCTGGTTGCAAACTAGAATTAATACAATTTAAATGCACACATTTGCTGCTGGGGTTTGCCACGTGGCACTTCTTACATCATACAAGTCAAGTGATGACCTCACATCATCGTCACATCGTCCACTGGAACCAGAGCATGCGGTCACTTTGTAAAGGTTTCTCCTCCTACAATCAATCAATCATCATGGAAGTTGAGTAGGATGAGGGTTTGGGACTTCTTGGAATCTGGGTCCAGATAACAGCCACCATCATCTCCACGGTGCACAACAGTGTGTTTTGTAATCGTTTAGCGATTGCCTCCAGGAACTACAACTGTTCCCTGTTCCCAGCACAAACAGCACTGCTTGTGTTCCCCTCTGGATTTGCATAGCCCGGCCTGCTTTGGCAAGTGAAGAAAGAAGGTTAGAGAAAGTGCAAAACATGTTCTCTTCAAGTTGACAGTTATGCAAATTTTAGATCGAACTGTACGTCCAAGGGCAATTTGGTTACCTCAAGAGAGGGGGGGGGGGATAAGAAATTACTAAATCTTTGTTCAGTGAAACAGGAAAAAAGATAAAGACATCAGGTTATGTTATAGTCGTGTAAATGTAGCAATGTTTTCACATGAACTACTCATAATTCATCTTAAAAATAAAGTTTGAGTTTACGGGATTTAACTGGGAGTGTGAGGTGAAGTCTAACTGGTTAACTGCTTTTTCAAGAAAAACATGCTGACGGAAGCCGTTTTGTGGTGGGGGCTCTGCAGCGTCCACAGCAGCAATTAAGATTTAACTCTTGGCAATCAAAAACCTCAGCTTGACTCTGAACGCACCACCAGATCACCCATTGACTGTAAAATTAAATTGTTGGCAGATGACAAGTCCGGCTCACTTTAAACACTTTCAGGTGCTTTAACTTCATTAGATGCAGACAAAAATAAATCTCCACCACCGTCTTGAGGCATTAAACTCTTAAAGACCTGAACTTCAGAACCACAAGTATGAGGAGCGTGTTGCTTAGTATCAAAAGTCAAAGTTCACAAAGTAGGAGACAACGCGATTTTGTCCCAAATCGGTAAAAACCGCTGAAGGCTATTCATTTAAAACAGACTCGCTTCACAGAACAAAGGAGCCACAGCCTGTTTTGGTGCACAACTTTTAGAAGAGGATTCAAGGATTTGGTTTGATTTCCCAACAACAGTGAGGACAAAAAAAACAAAACACAAACTCGCACATGAACCCGGACAAAGACACGAAGCAGAGTGAAATAATGACGTTCAGTCACAGGCACTTCGTTTCAGTGGTTTTAGGACTGGCTTCTTTGCTTTGGAGACAGATGGGCCGTGAGTCATCGCTGAAGTTAGCAAGAACTCGTTAGTTGAACCATTTCTACAGAAACACAAAATGTTAAGTTTGATTAGCACTCAAGATGTTTAAAACAGGTTTTAACACATTTGAAAGGGTCTCTGATGAACGTAATACCTTGTTTCACCATCACTGCAGTGAAAGCTACACAGTTTAGAGGCGGCTATGGTTGAGTGGTTAGAGCAGTCGTCCTCCAATGCAAGAGTTGGGAGTTTGATTCCACCAGCAGTCACATGCTGACGTGTCCCTGAGCAAGACACTGAACCCCTCATTGCCTCTGATGTGTGTTGATCGGTGTATGAATGCACTGATTCTTTGTAGAGATGGAGAGCTGTATGAATGGGTAAACGAGGCACAGACTGTTGTAAAGAGCTTTGAGCATCTTGATAAAAACAATTCATTTATCATTTACAAGACGGTTGCTAATGTTCCTAAGAGATGCCATCGCAGCAAACTTTCTAAAGAAACTCTCAAAGAAACGGCAGAGTGTCACCTTCGACTGCACTTCCTCAGGTTAAATGCAATGAAATCCAAACTCTGACAAGTCTGTGACTGGCCCAGTTGCATAAAAACTCTTCTCTAAAATTAACTTTGCGTGATTTAGGTTTGCAAAGTTTCATACAAAACAAATATCACACGACTTCTGAAGCAACGTTCTTTGAGCAGATGACCCCAAAGTGGACACATTTAGTCATAAATGCTGCATTTAGCCGAACACAGCAACACAAAAGGCTTGTTGCTAATTGTTGAGCACAGGGGAGGTGGTGTAATAATGCGGGCCTGGCCTGGACACATTATATTACATGCTTCATGATCATCAGTGGGCCTGGACGCGTCTCCTTGTTCGGGGTGTGCCATGACCGCTTAATATCGCCACCAGCGTCCTGCATGAACAAGCAGGTAAAGATGACCACCAGTCTAACAGCTAAAGCACAGCTGAAATAAAAGTTTCATCATTTTGGCTTGGTTTTGATAATATACAGCGTGTTGTGACATTTTTAATAACCAGATGCTAAAGTCCTGCTACGCAAAACCACAGAAGGGTGAACTCATTTTCTGTCATGACATCATTTTACAGGAGTCAGAGATTCTTTATTGTCATTTGCACCTCATGTGGTACATGTGGTGGAACGAAATTATGTTCACGGTGTCCCAGTTACATCCAACAATAAATGTATAAGAAAAACAGTTATAACCTCTGAACTAAGAAAAACATCAACTAAAAATACACCAAGCACTAATAGCACAAAAACATTACGTCAAACAGCAGCACGAACATGAGCATGAGTCTGTGTGAGCAGATGAGCACGCATGAACACATCAACATGAAACAGATCAGCAGCAACATGAAACAGATCAGCAGCAACATGAAACAGATCAGCAGCAACATGATATGGTTTTTCACAGTGATTATTCTGGTTAGAGATTCATGAGTCTAAAAGCCTCAGGGTAGAAGCTGTTCCTCAGTCTAGTGGTTCTACACTTAATGCTCCTTAACCTCCTTCCTGAGGGGAGTGGGGCAAAAAGTGTGTGTGCTGGGTGAGTGAGGTCCTTCATGATGCAGGTGGCCCTCTTCCTGCATCTGGAGGTGTAGATGTCTGTGATGATGGGGAGACTGACTCCAACATCTTCTGTGCAGCCTTCACCACTCTCTGCAAAGTTTTTCTTTCTGCAGCTGTGCAGCCTCCATGGAGCACAGGAGCTGTAAAATAAAAAAAAAAGGATACATTTTTTTTTAAAATAAATAAATGAAAAGAAAGAAACCATCTGGCATTCGTCCTCTTTAACTGCATCCAGATATCTCCTCTTTTTCCTGCAGCTGCATTTCTAACATCCTTCTACCGATATACCCACTGTCCCTCCTCTGGACACGTCCAAACCACTGTCCCTCCTCTAGACATGTCCAAACCACAGTCCTTCCTCTGGACATGTCCAAACCATCTCAGTGTGTCCTCTCTACCTCTGATGATCTCACTCTAATCTTCTCCATCCTTGTCTCTCCTAAGGAGAACCTCAACATCTTCATTTCTGACACTTCCAGTTCTGTCTCCTGTCTTTTTGTCCATGTCTCTGTCTCCAGACCATACAACACAGCTGGTCTCACCACTGTCTTGTAAACTTTTCCTTTGACCTTTGCTGACACCCTTTTGTCACAAATCACTCCTGACACTTTTCTGCATCCTACCTGGACTCTCTTCTTCACCTCTTTACCACAATCCCCATTTTCCTGGACCCCAAGTCCTTGAAGTCCTGCACCTTTGTGACCTCTGCTCCTTGTAGCCTCACTGCTCCACCTCCTCCCTCTCATTCACACACACGGACTCTTGTTACTACGACTGACTTTCATCCCTCTTCTTTCAAGTGCATACCTCCACCTCTCCAAGTTCTCTTCCACCTGTTCCAACCACAGATCACAATGTCTTCTGCAAACATAGTAAAAAGAAGCAAACCATTTTCTCTAAATGCAAATATCACATACCAGACATCTGCTCCGCACAGATACATATCTACACACACGCCTACACAAGCCGTGTGGACGGAGTGTTTGCCCACCTGGCCAGTTATCAGCGACGGTGGTTGAAGTTTAGCTTGAATATGCAAATCTTGCTCTTTATTACGATAGATAGCCGACTCGTGTTGGTCAACCACTAGACAAACAAGACCAGTGTTTTTAAAATCCTAAAACAAACAGATTTACTAGACTGGTCAAGAGGGTTAAAAGCCAGTTAGAATAATAAACTGAAGACTTCATTTTTACACAAAGAATTGTGATTTTTCTTTTTTAAGGTATGTTAGGTGACTTATTGGGAATGCCCCACAAAATGGACTTTGGTTTGTCGTGCTAAGGCAACAATGGACCACATCAAAGGTTTAGATTTGGGAGACAGTAGTAGGAGTGTTTTTCTGTGAAATGACTTCATTTTACGGCTGTCAACACCTCCGAGCCACAGCGAGACCCTGGACTGCTCGTCCACCGTCACAATGAAAACATCTCATTAACGCACACAACTGATTTCCATCCTTTATTACATCATGACACACATTTCAAATATACATAACGAGAACCCTCCTCACTTCAGTGTGATACAGATATTTACCGTTTCTCTTGGAGCAAATCCAAAAATAACAGAACTAAAAAAAATTACTTAACTCCCCCCAAAACATTACAAGAGGAGACACTGCAGCACGAACAAGATGCGACGGACAGAAGATATAATTAAGACCAGTGTTCTTGTCAACTTGCCAAAATGTCTAAGAAAAGTAGTGATAATTATCATGTGTAAGACTCAATTAAAATAAAAAAATACTAAATAAAACACAAAACAGTAAAGTGAAGTGCAAATATCTTTGGAAGTATAAAGTGTATTTTTATCTCCTTCATTAAGACATAAATAATAAAATAGAAGCTATAACAGCAACAAAAAGAGATAAAGGCAAGACAGTTGTTTTAGTTTCAAGTTTTTAAGTCGTAGACACACCGTACACGTCGATCTAAACCAATCAGAGGCCGTTGCTCTGATTTCGCTCAAGTTTATTCGACTGGTTTCGTAAATGTGCCCATTCAATCCCAGCAGGCCAAGACCAGAGCCTCATTCCTGGTTCTGTGCAGAAAATTCAACCTTTCAAGTCCAGAAATGTCCAAGCAATAAAATCAGTTCGGGTGGATGTTTTTAGTGTTTTGCTTCTTCCCCTCGTCGTCGGCTCCCGTTCTGAAATGAAAGCGGCAACGCTGACTCTTAAAAGCAAATCCACCGATCCCGACGTCGCGTTTGTCGTGACGAAGACTTAAAAAAAAAAAAAGATAAAAACAAGCAAACAAAAACTTGAGAGGCTTTTGCTTTAAAAAAACAAAAACACGTCTGTTCTCATTGCAGGTAGCCCCGCCGTTAATGTTTTACGGTTCATCTGATTAAACAACACTTGATTTTCTTCTATTTCCAGCAGAATCTGCGTTTCCTCCAGTAAAAAAATGAAATCCTCCTGAAGACAGCGGGGGCTCGTCAGTTCGTAACGGAGGCTCAGTCAGTCAGTTACTTCTTTCTCTGGAAGACATTGGCCAGCATGGCTCCAGAGGTGGTCAGCTGACCCATTTTGCTTAGGAACTTGTTCTTGGCGTCCTCACCCACCAAACTGGATGCAATGGATATAGATCTAATAAAAAACACAAGAAGGAATCAAATTAAAAACACTGATTTTGAAACAGAACATCTTATATATATATATTTTTTTTTTTTCGGGGGGGGGGGGGGGGGGGCCAGGTCGTTTCTTCTGGTATCAGATGCTGTGCAGCTGGAAAGATTTTTACTGAAACTTTTTTTTTTTTTAAACATTTGTTATGATGCGTAACCATGACAACAAGGTGTTTTGTTGACAACCGGGAGCAGCTGATTAACATCTCAAAAGCTCAAATAACATCTCCGCTACAGTGCCAAATCTCAAATGAGTTGAAAAGGAGGGTCCGTGGATGCTTTCCCGTCTACCTGCTGGCTGTGCTCGATTGCCTGACCACTGAGATCCCAAGATCTCCTAAGGAGATCCTAGAACTGGCAGGAAACGAGGAGCTTGGCGGGCTGCTGGGAGGAGTGGCCATCATTCTGGGAGGAGTTCTGCCTGCATTCGGGGAGTCCTGCAGCCCGAGGCAACCGAGAGGCCAGCCGAGTCTGGGTGGACGAATTGAACGGCATCTGCGGCCAGTTTCTTCCAATCCGCTGTGGGACTGACCTTTACAAGAGATCCTTCCTGCCTACAGCCATCAGAATCTAGAACATCTCTTAATGAAACGAGGATAATGAGTTACAACAACATTTATTTCCCTTTGGGATTAATAAAGTATTTTTGAATTGAATTGTATAAGATACAAAGTAAAAGCTAATACTTACTAAATGATCTTAAAGCACACTCCACCCTTCACACCCTTTATATTTTTACAGAGGAAATGCCGTTTGACAATACAACCCCTCTAGAGTTTTTACAGTCCAACGGCTCCTCAAGTTCCTCTTTTGAGTTACTTAGGGTTCTGATGGAGAAGTTAAGCTGCTGTACTGCTCAACAGAAGGACAGACATGGTGGTAACAGCAACACTTAACTACAACCAATACATTTAGACGTCAGCTCAGAGTCTCACTTTTAGGTTTAAGAGAAAGCACACGCACACTTCTAACACGTTTATATATTTTTAGTCTCACTGAGTCACGAGGACTCATTTTCAAGAGAGACCTGTTTGGGAGCAGATGGTGGGGGTTAAGGACGTTGCTTAGGGGCCCAGAGTGGGGTAGATGAGGGTGGAGGCAGGTGTGCCCGTTTCACCTTTTCCACCCACATTTTGATGTTGTTGGTCGGGGAGTTGAACTAGTGACCTTCCGATCACAGGCGCACCTTCTCTAATCTCTGCGCCACCATTCCCCAGTTACATCCCCACAATAAACGATTCTTTTTAAAGTTCCCCGAACAAAAAGATGTAAAGAACATACAGCTTTCGTTACCAAAAACATATTTTCTTCCTGAAAATTAAAAACATATCAATCCTAAAATCCATCCATTGGTTCGTGAGATATTTTGCTAACAATTCATGTCAAGATTTTAAAGAACGACGTCAAATGTGCCGTGCTCAGAGTCTGCGTTGTGGATCTGTCTCAGCTACTACCACACCAAATGTTAGCTCAGTATCTGTAAAACATTCAAACCGACTGGGACTGATATATTTTGCTAACAGCACAGACAAATCACACACAAAGACAAACTCCTTGCCTTTGGTAACGAGTGATAAATCGGCATGAACTCAAGTTATTTAGTCATCTTTACTAAATGATAGAAATTATGATTTTATAAAACGGTTTTCATTTAAATAAATAGAAGCAAATGCAACAAATGCTCTCACGACGTTCAGATTAATTCAAAATGTTACGTGACTATTATTTGTGAGAAGTGCATGGCTTCCCCGCTTTAAGTGTTTCTTTGGAAGTGATGAGGGCGGGACTGATCGACTCACCCTTGTGTGTCAGACATTCCTCTGTTTTCCACCTTTATCTCACACTCTTTAATCATAGAACTGAGAATTACCTGAGGAAAACAAAAAAAACAAAAACAATTAAGCTTGAATTTTACAAATATGTCCTTCTACAATGATAAAAGCATGATTTCCACAAAGATGTTTATGCCATCTATACACCAGGATGCTCTAAACAGAAGGAGAACAGGTAGCGTGGGTCTACTTCTGTACCTACATGGCAAAATAAAAACTTGGCTTATGTTTGTGCAGTGTATTATATAAAATATTAATAAAACAGAAGCTGCTTTGAGGAGATCCCAGACAAGAAAGGATGAAAATAAAATAAATTTTTAAAAATCAGCTGATTATTAGTCACGTTGGGAAAATGCTCACATGAAATGGATAGCATGCGACTCCGAGACGCAAATAAATACTTTAGGTGTGTGTCCGTGTGTGTGAAAGAAGTCAGACTGTCTGCTTTGATTTTGCGTGACACTACGGGAGTAAAGAATAGAATAAGGGAGACAGTCTGGAGCATGAGAATGCAGATGTGATGCCGTATTTTGCATGTGCGCATGTGGACGGTTGGGAATGTGAATAGCACAAGGAATCCCCCTGAACATATGTGCGTGTTGCATCTGCTGACCTCGTGCTCCGGAGAGAGCTGCTCCATGTCGGCGTGCAAACACCTGAGGCCGGGCAGGAAATAGTTGACCATCACCTCCTCAGAAATGACTGCACAGAACGTTAAGGATCTGAATTTCACACGGGTGTATATAAAGAAACTGCTTTGACCCATTAAAGGCTTCCACTTTATACGATACTTCAAAGTCTTCTCAATATGGATTTAATTACATACAAAGCTGCACGACGACAAAAACTTGTCGGGATATTAAGTTCATTCAGATTTCCTAGACAACCAAGATATGATGCAATCTACATCTAAAAGCACTCTGAGGTGATTTTAAGCTCATTGGTGAATGTTCACCTCCATCTGTATCACAGAGGATTAAAATCTTTGATAAAGGAGAAAAACTAAGAAACCAGTTGTTGTTATAAGATGCAGAGCTCCTTTGTAAGCGTGGGAGGCCCTTTCAGACCTACAACCACCACTGCAGTGTTCAACTAATCACACGATTAAGGAGGAGCTCCCAGACTGAGAAAACTCACAAGAAGACACATAAAAAAAACAAAAAAAAAACTATTACCCGGTATGTAATGAGAGAAAAAACATCTTGAACTTGACTCCATAAAGGCTGAACTCTTTAGTTGCAATTTGAAACAACTCTTAGTGAGGAAACCAGGCACAACTTATCAGATAACACCATCAACTTACAGTCATAGACAATGACCCAAATGTGACAAAGGAATGAAGGAACCAGTCAAGGAAGGAACCAGTGAAGGAAGGAACCAACCAACGAACCAATTAACCAACAAAGGAAGGAAGGGACCAGTGAATGACTGAATGAAGGAAGGAACCAACTAAGGATTGAACGATCCAACCAACGAATGAAAGAAGGAACTGACGAACAAATGAACAATGGAAGGAACCAATGAAGGAACAAATGAATGAAGGAATCAACGAATAAAGGAAAGAACCAATGAAGGAATGAAGGAACCAACGAACCAATGAACGGAGGAAGGAACCAATCAACCAACCAACGAATGAAAGAAGGAACCAACAAACGAATGAAGGAAGGAACCAACGAAAGAACGAACCAACAAACGAGCCAATGAATGAAAGAAGGAACCAAGGAACCAACGAACAAAGGAAGGAACCAACGAAGGAACTAACCAACCAGCGAATGAAAGAACGAATGAAGGAAGGAAGATCAATCAGTCCATTCATCCTTCGATGCTCATCTGTGGTAGGATCTTGGAGACAACAGGTTTAGGGGGAAACCCCGACATTTCTTTTGCCCAGCCACCCTGCTTGAATCCAGGACCTCATTCTTTTGGTCGTATATACCTCACAGGTGAGGATTGTAACAAAGACAGACCAGTAAATTGAAAGTTTTGTTTTTTGGCTCAGCTCTTTCTTTACTCAACAAACTGGAGCAACACCTTCCATTATTGTGAATGAGGCCCCAATCCATCAAATTTTGGTATGTGATTTATTTAAAGCAGACATTAAAGACCCTAAACAAGAGCTATTCAATAAAATGCGTTACATCCCCAGCCCCGCAGCAAGCCAAAGTGCCCTTGGGCAAGACACTGTACCTCCACTGCTCAATACGCTTGTTGGTTTAGGAGCAAGAATATAAAAAAATGTTGTATATTGTGCAAAAGCACTGTATAAATGCATGCATAAATTGGTAAATTAGACACTTAGACACAAGTCCTGCAGTTTCGCGTTTTGTCATATGATCATCTACCTTTTTGAGGGCAAGTGCTGCCATTTTAAACATAGATGTACTTGTTTTTGTTCTAGCTGACAACTACTGCCCTACCTGTTTATTCTCAAAAGACGATGTCAAAAAAAGTCTTTATTTATTGACCTTTCCTCACCGCATTGCATTTTAGGTTAAGAATATAGGATCATTAGAGAAACCTAAACAGATACAAAATTAGATTTTTTTTCCTCTGGAAATCTGAACACACCGTTACTTTGTCCACGGCTGCGTGTGTTCTGCCACATGTCAAAATCAGCGGGGCTATGTGGGATGAGCGGTGAAGAAATCTGTATTTTTAGAGACGGGAATGTACAGTTTCAGAGCTTGTCACACTGATTACAAATAAAAAATAGCAGTGGGAGGTATGCCCTCAGCGGTTAGGGCTACAACTCCTGGACACAACTGCACTGAAATGACAGCCTACCAAAAATCCACAGGAATGAACCTCAGAGCAGCTGTCCTCAGTGTGTGTTGGAACTGGGTGGGGCACAGCAGACGGAGAAAGATAAAGCAAATAGAGAGAGAATCACACAAGAGCCAGATGAAAGAGATAAAACAGATGTGACATTAGTGCAAATCCAATCCTGAGAACCGTTCCTGAAGATTAGAGTTGGTGTTCGGTCCGTTCCTCCTTTCACACACTTTCTCCTGCTCTCATCCTTTCCTTTGCTTATCCATCCCTGTAATTACATGTTGCCCCAAAATGGAGGCGGCTCAATTTTCCCCTTTTTCTTGCTTTCAAATGACAGGCAAACTCCGCCAACGCAAAAAGTGAAGCAAACTCTGAGGCACCACAGCCACAATGAACCGGCGAACGGTTCAAAACTCAATGTGAGCAGCATAAAGAGTGCTGGACGAGTATTTCAGACAGTCTGACACCGACTTCAAGCCAAACAGGACAAATACAGTACTTATAGATAGGCCTGTTGTAATAAACAATAAATCAATTAATCACATGAGAATGAAAATGATCAACCTCATTTTCATTCATCAACTTTATTGTTTCTTCGTGTCTCTCTCTTTCTACTGAAGACACTGGATGACAAAAGGCTCTCGCCGGAGCTCTTCACTGACCCCTCCATGTCTCTTTAAAATCCAATTTAACATCCAAAATCATGTTTTTGGATCGTTAAAAGCAGCTAAGCTACGAGCTAAGCTAACAGGCCGACCTCGGGGAAAAAACCTCCGTCTTGTCGAAGCTCCAAAATTCACGGTAGAAACCCGTGTCTTCGTGTAAAAATTTGTTTTCTCTGAAAAAAGAAGCTGAGAACTTTACTGATTTTTTTATTAAAAGCTTTGTGTGAAAAATGCTAAAGAGCTCAAACCACACTGAGCGTCCGCCATTTTGTGAACCAAAAAAAAGGGACGAGAGATAGCCCATGTCACGTCAAGGTGCCACCCTCCCATTTTTCTTTAAAAAAGACACGCTGTTCGCTCCCTCACTATCCATCCTTCAGTTCAAACAGACTTATACTGCCTTAAGGTGGTTGAAAAAGATACTACACAAAAATTAACCAACATTTCTTCTTAAATTTGACAATAATTACTAATTATTGTCAAATTTCAAACATTATCGTTTATCGCAATAATTTGAGACCATTAATTGCCCAGCAAAATTTGTTACTGTGACAGGCCTACTTATAGAATTGTAGAAATAAATCTAATGTGAAATGTGTACAAGTTTACTGAAAGTTTGCAGAAAGAATAGAAAGCTGTAAATGCCTAAACACCATTAAATAAGACGTAAAGAAGGATACAGCAGCAGGACAGGGCACTGTAGGCCTCAAACAGGTGGATGGCGATGTCGATCCTCTTGCTTTCCACCGACTGGCTGTTGTTAGCTAGCGCAAGTTTGTGGAGGTGCGGGAGTACAACTTGAAATAAATAAAACATAACAGTAAAGACTCAGTGTACATGAGAAGAATAATTAAAAACAACATATATTTGCACTGCGAAGAATTGAAGAAGCTGTCAAGTATTTCTGTCTAACATACACTCATCTCTGAAGCGCGGCTCTGCGTTCGGCCCGACCCGTCCAAACGTCCTGATGATTTCCATGTGCAAAGAGTGCTGATCTTGGTACTGAGGGTCTTCAAGGAATGAGGCCAGCTGCATTTTAACACGCTCTAGCAGCTACAAACAAACATGAATTATAACTGCATCATCTGCATATACAGTGATTACGACGATGAGTGCTGCTCTACCTCTTTCTGTGTGACGGTCTCCATGATGGTGCCAAAGGCAGGGATGGTGGAGATTCTCACTGATCTAAAAACAGCAGGAAAGTAAATAAAACACTTGGACCTTTTACGATTACATCACTTTTTCAGGTCCTTCTTAAATCCATTACATCTTTAAACAGAATCAGAATGACTGTGCAGAAATGTATCTGCAAGAAGTTGCCACAAATGTTTTGAAACATTAATCACTAAACTGTTAAGCTAACAAGAGGAATGCCCATGTCCTCCGTCGCTGAAAGACTTGAATAGTGAATGTTTGTTGTTTCCCAGATTAGTGTTTTTCTGATTGAAAATTGAATGGGGAATTCAAGTAAGCCTTAAAGTTTTTGGTGCAAGATAATTAGGTGGATAAGACATACCCTGTGCATACGAACAGGTAGGTTTTTTTTATTCTCCTCTTATGAAGCGCAGTGGCAGATCCTGGCGAGCAGAGGGAACAATTTTATCCATTATCCAGGTGCAACGGCGGAGCCAGGGGGTGATCAATGGTGGCCTCGGCCACCTTTGACTAATTTTTGTCCACCCCAATAATTTGAGGAAACTATATTTTAAGCGATATAAAAACTACAACTTATAATTTCCTCATATGTTAGGAATAGTCAGTTTTCATACACATATTCTTATGGAAGCGGCCATCTTGGATTTTGACGTAGGATCCCAGTTATCCATTGGAAACTTTCCTACGCCTAGATGCAGCGACACACACCAGTGTTTCAAGTTATCATGCGCATAACATTCATGGAGATTCGACAGGTATGTCCAATTTCCCCTTTTCTCTCCAGGGTGGGAGACACATAGATATTAATCTGTTTAAAAACTTGAGACAAAGAGTTCCAACTAATTAATTCAGTCATTCAGACAATAATGTTTATAAGCAATTAGATAAAAATAAAATTAATTATAAAATCAATCAAGGGTCATTGGAAATTAAAATGATTAGCACAAAGCAAAGTTAATAGGGAGTTAGGGCATTGTTAGATAATCATTCCAATATCAGTAAAACCAGAATAAGATAACAATAATGTACACAAGCCACCTATGCATTATAAAAGTAATAAAATAACTTATACAATTTTTATATAACACATTAAAAACGTATGTAACCATCATGATGTGTATTTACAGAGAATAATGAGATGTAGAGGGCTGCATCCCAACAGTGAGGTTGTGTCTTTAAACTCTTTCCAGAGGTCAAAGAAGCCACGTCAGCCAAACGCTACCACGTAGTACGCAGTTCACAGCTGCTACTACCAGCGGACACAAATTCAGAAGAAGAAGAAAGTGTTTTCTGCGCTGTAAGGATGCAGCCCACAAAATGATCATGTTTTTTTTTTTTTTTAAAAAAGCCTTTTGTTTTTAGTTTTTGTATTGATTGACTCACAATTCAGGCCCACTGCACAGAGTTATAAGGGCTGGAGCCGCCCGGCGATCTACTAAAGCTTCACTCATGCCTTGGAGAACCAACTGCAAACCCACCACACACCAGGATGAGAGAGTGGGAGGGGCAAGGTGGGAGACGGAGGGAAAGGCAGAGGTGAAAAGTGAAAGATTGAGAGAATACAGGAGCAAAACAGATAGAGAGAAGGAGAGAGAAGATAAATCGAGATGGGGTAAAGATAACCAACCACTAGCTGAAAAAGTGGCTGCGCTTCCAAAAAGAAGGGGTGGGGGAAGAAGAGGAGGAGGAGGGAAGGTGGGTACCAGATGAGCATGCAGAGGTGGTGCTGTTTGTTGTGGGCGATGTGCATGCACCAGTCTGGGAGAGGACTGGTTGGCGTTGTAGACAAATGAGGCGATGAGAGCTGACATGAGTTAGTGATGCAGATCGATGGCGCAGACATGCACGGTGTTAGAGCTAACAGTGATTGTGCAGGAAATAAATAAATAAATAAAATAATAAAACACCCCAGAACAGCCTAAACCCACACAGGAGCTACTCCGAACTAAACTAGCCAGTTAGAAACTAATGAAATTTAAACCGAATGGATTTAACAGTCAATCAAGAATTGATGTTGGAAATGACTGAATTTGACTGGCGCTGATTTTGCTCCTTCAGGTACAGACTAGTCTTGGTGTGGTTGCTCTCGGGCGGCAGAGAGAAGGGGGAAAGAGACGCGGCGTGGGTCGCCGCTTCTGTTGTTCCACTTACATTTCAGGGTCGGAGGACAGTGTGATGAGAGCCGGCACCACTCTCTGAGCTACCAGCGTCTCATTCACCCCCTTCACCAGCAGCTGATCGGATTGGACAGAGCCAGCCGTGATGTCACATAGGTGGGAGGGGCATTTGGACAAGAGCAAAACAACATTGCCAAAGGACAAAGAGAAAAAAAAATATAGGAAAGGGGGGGAAAAGAAAGACAAACACAAAAAGATAGAAATAAAGTGATATACAATGACAAGAACTATACGACAATACACACATCAGGCAAGCGTGTGTACGTACAAATTCACACATACACACTCAGATGGTAACGACAACGTAGCTTAACCTCACACACTTTTACAGTAAAGTGAGCAACAAAACACGTTCATTCCACAGAGTCCAGATCAGATTATTTAACCAAATTAAACTCATAAATCAGCTGTGAACAGGCTAATTTGATCTGGAATGTGTGGTTCAGTTTTTAACAAAATGATGGAGAGTTATTCACTATGGAATGGTGACGGTGAGGCATTCTGAGAAAGCACTTCACAAAACAGGAGGGACATGAGCACAGCCTGCCACTCCTCTTCCCCCAGGTACAGATCAATACGGACCAGGTTCCTCCACTACACCGAAAGCCTCCTCCCAACATCTGACCTGCAGTGTGTACCGATGGTCCGCTTCAATAGCAGAAGTGAATCAACGCCTCATCATCCTCAAAAACATCCGATTACATTCTACTTTACAACTAGAATGAAGAGCTTCAGGTCCTTTCTCTTTCAGCTTGCTGACTTCAGCTTTTCTCTGACATGTGGCAGACATGAATTCTAAGAGCGGTGCACAGTTGAAGGTCTGATGTTGGCTTCAGGAGGGTTTAGCCGTAGAGCTGGAACCAGAGTTTACTCATAGCTTCATGTTAAAATGCATGTTTAACAACAGCAGCAGAAGCAAGCAAAGCTGGCACATTTACAACAAATAAATGAAATATTACATGATTATTATACTACGGGACAGAATAAGATACAGTACACATACTTCGACTTAATATAAACATGACTAATCAAATAGCTATTTATTAAAATAAATAGCAGTTGAGTTTTAAAATAATTCATTACACGTTAGCAATACTTCACAAATTGTCATGTCTGAACAAGA